TTGTTAGTGGTGAAAAATGACTCAATCAGTCAATAGCTATAGGAATGAGTCATGTTTCATGTGTCGCACTTCACTGCTTTATTAAACACTTTCAAAGCCTATGTAGTAGCTGTGCTTTGAATTAAATATTAATAATCCTTGCATTTGATATAGTGCCTTGTCGTCGTCCTCGGGATGTCTCAAAGTGCTTCAAAGAATATACTGAATATTCAAAGAATGACTGTATATTTTGCATGCGTTTTCAGCTTTAGACTTCAGCAGTACACTAAAACATACTCTGAGGTCCTTAAGCCTTGGCTTAAATTAGGTAAGCAGGGTGCATCCTTCCAGGGAGAGACTATGCATTCCATCCCAATAAAAATCAGGGAATTCCCATGTATGGATGCACAGAGCTCTCAGTTTGGTTTGCATACTTTTAAGCACAGTGATGGGTTTCTGCAAGTTTCTGACAACCCAGTTGACCAAAAAAATGGACGTTTAGAGAGAAAAAAAACAGTAGCCTGAGGGAGTGATAATGTCTAGCCAAAGGCACCCGTTGTAAAACAAATCACTGAGCTGCTAAATCAGCTGTATCAATGCTCTATCAGTGTCTATGCTCCAAACAAATCAGAAGACAAGAAGGCAAAGATTCGGGTCAATAAGCTTAGGCGATTTACACATACAACTCCTCGAGCAAGGTAGAAACAAAGTCATATCGGCTTTTTTCAGCTTTGTGCACCCAGCTTCTGTCAGTCCGGAGAGAACTCCAAATGTCAATATTATATGCACTGTAGCTAAGAGAATTTAAAGGAGCTCAAATTTATAATCCGCACAAAAAAGGTAACAGTGGCTTTGGAGATTTTGATATTAAGCGGCACAAAGGCAGAATGATCAAGGCACAGGCACTGCGTATTGATGCTCCTGCAGGGATTCACACATTGGCATGGGATCTATCATTAGAGCTGCTTAAGAAAGACAGAATATTGACTAAAAGGTTTGAAGGGCAGACAAAACCTGGTGCCTGATTAGAAAACATATGACACGAGCATTGAAAGCTATCAGATCAAGTATTCACATCAAGGAATTAAGTCAGCCTGGGAAAATGCCATAAAAAAAGCCCCATTGCACTAAGACACACAAAAAAATTCTATTCTCCAATACTGAGNTTTTTTTATTGGAAATGCAAAGAAACAAAAAAGGAAAAATTAGACTATAAGAGAGACTGAAATGTACCATTCTCAACATTGAAGAGTTGTAGCACTTCAGGTACATGAGCCTGGAACCTGTTGGGCTAACATTTTACTGAAATAGTCACATCATCATTCAACACTGGGATGTGATGTGTCATTTCCAATGTACCTGAATGTGGACCTCCCCACCTCCACCCCCACACACACAAAGATCTCAATGCTGACATCCATTATGACTGGTCACACATTTGACTGTAGGCTCATGGATCACAGCATGTAACTGCAAGGTAACAGGAAAGCAGTTTTACTCTGAGTTTTTGTTCAATGAAAACCCATTGTCCTGGGAACAAAACTCAAACATGCATCTCAGATTCACAGACATGGCAATGAGAATAATGTCAGGTGAAATTCACCTGCAATGCAAAGGAAGACGTTTCTCAACAATACTTTCTGAATTACAAATATGAAATGATATGTTAGCTCTCAATGTTACAGGGAAATACTAAACAACAAAAACAATTTGCATTTTTATAGCATCCTTCACATGCAATAACCTTTCAGAGCGCTTTGCAGACATGGTGCCAGACATGGAGCATGGAGTGTGGAGAGAGGGGGAAGGCCTTGTTAAAGATGTATGTTTTTAGATGTTTTTGATAGAGGGATGCGAGATGAAGTGAGTTAAAGTGACGAGGTTAAAGGGTTGGTTGCTGATGGTGGGGAAGGGACAAAGAACAAACAGCAGGCTGAGTGGAGGGTGAGAAGGAGAGTGAAACTGGAGACGATTACAGAGGCAGGGAGGTGAGAAAGAGAATTTTGAAGTTGATCCACTAGGAGACTGGGAGACTCTATAGCCTGGGCAGGATGGGGCTGATGGGCCTATGAAGCTTCATACGGGTAAGGATGTGGATGGCCGTCACTCTCAGGGTAAGAGTAAGACAAGGTTGACAAGATACCTGAATAAGAATTATTGGTTTGAATGCTTCTATTCCAGCTGCATTGCTTATATGCTGACTATATGCATACACAGACTACAGTGCATGTCTAAATGTAAATAACAATTTAATTACTCAACAACTCCCAGACTGATGACATGATCACATTTTTCCTGAAGCACTTTGTTAGAATTTGTTCTTATCAGCCTCTCTGTCGTATTAATTGCATGTCTGTACAAAAAATATTATCTCCAGTACATTTCCTTTAGTACACTCAGGACTTTAAAGGAACATTCCATCCTGCTCTTTCCAAATTTTGACAAATATAATATAAAAATATATTTCTTCAAAAAATAATAAAATCCTTGTCCTACCTCAGAAATTCCAAGTTGAGATCAAATGTGAATTCAGTTGAAAATCATCATATTTTGGATTTTATTTAATACAGTGCAACAATGGAAAACCAAACCACCTAATTTAGCAACAATGATGCCTCCACCAGAAACTAAATGCACTAAAAAGCTTGGTTACGACTATGGAAGTGGTTGTTATATCTAAACTATGCTCAGCGACTGTAAGGGCAACAAATGTTCTCCCATTCCTGCACCCACACTACCTACACCCCGTGTCGTCAGCTGCCCTGTTGCCCCACCCCACCTCCCACCACACAAACACACATAACTCTCAAGAGTGACTTGACAAGGAGAGAAAAAGTACGGTACACCATTGCTGAATTCATAGCAGATATTTTTTTCTAATTTGTTACAATGTTATAGTGGAACCCACTTAAGAATGAGATTGGATACATCCAATCTTCCTTTAGAAAGGGAAGTAAAAGATTCAAGTCCCCTCAACTCACTTTTCTGGCAAATGGCTGACCGCCCCTTCTCCTGCCTGAAACTCCATTCAAAGTTGTATTAGATCAACTCCGACCTTCACTCCCTTCCCATCATTCACCATGATGGGGTAACAATGATGTTGGATTCCAATAAAATGTTGACCAGGGAAGGTTGTATCGTGAGACCTTACGTGGAGTCCTGTAGCTCAGTGGTTAGAGCACTCGCTTTGCAAGCGAGAGACCTGAGTTCAATTCCAGGTAGAGCGAAACCTTGGGCAAGTTTGCTTACTCCACACGCCTAGTAACAATCCCTCCAAAAACAAAAAACAATAATAAATTGGTCATTTTCAATCTACGACTGTTTGTGGGACATTGCTGTGCGCAATTGGCTGCCGCGTTCACCCACAAATATACAGTCAATTCACTTTACAGTATATTCTGTGAAGCACTTTGTGACGTCTAGAAGACGTGAAAAGCACTATATCAAATGCAAGGATCATTATTATTATTATTATTATTATTATGGGACACCATCAGAGTTCATTTTTTGGTCAGCCAGGTATCTTAACACATGGAAACTCATTGCGAAGCTGAAGAGTATTTAACTACCCCTGCAAGTCAAACCTTAGCAGGTAAGGTGGTCCTAACTGAACAAGCAGTGGGACTTGTGCCAAACAGTGCTCTGAATATCAGGCTATGTGGTTTTAGGTAAGTGAGGTTCATCCCTCCAGGGAGAGAGTGTGATTCCATTTTAGACACTGGAATATTTCCATGTGTAGGTTGCATACATATGTGGAACTGGTTTGACTTGCAAGGTTAACAGGAGCTGAATGGAAGAATGCCCGCTTCCAGTTTCTAGTCTGCCTTTCCAAGCCCTGACAAAGACCTAGACTGGGTGGTCTGTTATTAGCAATTGCCTGGAGTAGCCCTCTGAGATGCCACCCCATGTGAAAGGTACTATATTGTTGTTGGAGTCTTGTGAACCCACCTGCCTTGAGAAGCAAACTAACAAAGAGAATTGATTCAATTCTGTTGCCAAGCATATCACCTTGAACCCAGTTCAGCTCCAACGAGGCCTCGCTGGACCCCGCTGCTCACCAAGGAACGGTCATATTGAGCACATTTCCATGACAAAGTATATATTTTCCATTGCCAGTAAAAAACAAGTTATTCCCAAGGAGAATAGTCACTAGTTGGTCATTTGAAATCCAACAAGTACAGGTTTGATCCAATGTCACATTTCACCAGAATGTGTTAGCACGACATGCTGTGTAGTTCTGTATGAAACATAGGTGCCTTATGGTCAACAAATTCACAGGAGCAAAATAAAAAAACGTTCAGAACAACATGTAGATCGCCAAGGCAAAATACAGGCTGTGTCCTTGCAGTATAGAGTTTCTGTAATTTATACAGTATTTACGAAACAGCCTAATGAGATTGCATGTCAGATAATCTGACCTATATCTGACTAACTGAGCTAAATGTCAGCAGATGTGGTTAAAAAAATGATGAACATTTGAATCTCACTGGCTGTCCCAGCACTGACCGAACACTGAACTCGTGACCCACAGAGGAGTGTTCGGCCAACATAACTAATGGATTCCACTGAATGGTTACATTCATTCAGTGTGGGGATTCTCTGCAGAGTGACAAGCATGATCGCTATTCTCAAGATGGCAAAAATTGTGACTAGACCCTGCACTGATACCCAATATAATAGTGACCCAGTGACTATAACACTGCACTAATACCCCACTAACACCGCAGCACTCTAACCAGATTGCAGTCTTCTGTGCCCACCTTGTATAAGGAAATTAGTAAGCGACACTGTGTAGGCTGAAAAAAAGCATTCCATCACAGAAGTGTTCTGTAGAACTGCCAATTCGTTTTTAAATGCTCCAAGTCATAGTTTGAAGAACTCCATGATGCTATCCTGCTTGAAGGGTGCTACATAAATGCAAGTTGTTGTTGTTTAGATTATAATCTTTTTCCTTCCCTATTGTCTACAATAATAAATTTGTATCCCAGAGACAAGAGTTCTGCTTATTGCAATTGGCAAACCTTTTTTGCAGTAATACTCTGCTTCCTCACAGCTGAGATGTTCAGAGCCATACTCTGCAGAGAAATTTTCTTCCAGCGTATAGCCATCTCTGCTGATTATGTCATTCTCTTCGGACAGACATTCCTCCTCTTCATCATCAACTGTATCTTCCAGTGGTCCTGTTAGTGCAAAACAAGGCTTGTCCATTATTCAGCACACACAGGTCACAGCGTCATCCACATTCATTACCAAACATATCTTGCATCCTTTTGCACAATCTCCAGTGAACTCGGCAACACAAGTTCACCACATTGATCATTTCAATGACATTAACAAATTGAGCGAAGAAGTCACATTGAGCACCTTTCTATGACAGAGTATGTATGCATTTTCCATTGCCAGTAAATGATGTTCAGTTTGTTTGGTTATTACAGTCAAGTGCTCAGAATTGCATCTGTATGTATTCTGTCCTACAATGACTTAAAGGGGATACAAAATAAATAAAATTATCAAAGCAATCTACAGGGGTGGATGTTCATTCTGTTCTCTTGCTTTAGCATACAAATCAATACGATGCATCAAGGAAATTGTTGTAATTATTTTTAGGTTTTTACAGTATAAATGACTCGGTACAGGTAGTTTCTAAATAATTAATAATAATAATAATCATTGCAAAAATCAGGAGAACATTTCAAAGTGCTTATTGCAAACTGTAGTGATTGTGGATTTTACAGGCAAAAGTGATAGTCAATTTGCAAACAGCCATGTCCCACAAACAGCCATGAAGTGAATGACCAATTTTATCTGGGGAATTGATGGCTAGGGCACGAGGAGAAACTCTTTTCACTTTTCGAGTAGGGACATGGGATTTTTAATGTCCACCTGAAAAGGCAGAGGGTGCATCAATTTAACATTGCATCCAAAGGACAGCACCTCTGACAATGCAGCGGTCCCCCAGCACTATATTGGACCTAGATCTGAATTCAAAGTCCCAAAATGGGGCTTGAGCCTATAACGTTCTGACTCAGGGGTGAGAGAGTTAGCAGTTAAGACAGGTTCACAAGTAATAATAATAATAATCCTTGCATTTGATATAGTGCTTTTCACATCTTCTAGACGTCTCAAAGCGCTTCACAGAATATACTGTGAATAATAATAATAATGCTTGCATTTGATATAGCGCTTTTCACGTCGGGAGGACGTCCCAAAGCGCTTCACAGAACACACTGTAAAGTGAGTTGACTGTATATTTGTGGGCGAACGAGGCAGCCAATTGCGCACAGCAGTGTTCCACAAACAGTCGTAGATTGAGTGACCAAATTATTCTTTTTTTGAGAGATTATTATCAGGCGGGTAGAGTAAGGAAACTTGCCTATGGTTTCGCCCTGGCAGTTGGTTCAAAAATACACCAAAGAGGCAACATCTTCCTAAAGTCTATGTGGCAAGGACTCTGCTGCAAGTGTTAAATAGACTTTTGCATTCCTATACCTCTACACCGACACTCATGATGTTTTTATGTAATTGAGCAACTTTAAGACATAAGTGAAGACCAAGACAAACATTCTCAGATTTCATCAGGAATTCATTCAGATCAAAATTGTAGTTCTGTATCAACTGCAATTCTGCATTAACCACAGTTATTATTCTGAGTCAAGCATTCACAAAAGGCATCTTTAAACCTATTATAAAAGTAAACGTCCACAACATTCTTACCTTCAAGGACACTGTTTGAGGTACATTTAATAGATAAAACTGACAGTTACTACAAAACACACCTGGTTTTATTCATTTATTTTGTCTGCATTGCACTTGACGGAGACTCAAAGATGGAATTCCCTTCTTCCCCCATTCTAAGTGAATGGATGAGAACCTCCCCACCCTCCCTCCCATTGCTGGATAGAAGCAACGTGAAAATATAACTTTGCACTATGCACTGGAAGCAATCGTCTCCATTCCCATGCCTACCATCAGTGCCTTTCCTCTTACATTTACATCCTCAGCCTAACAATGTTCAGTTACTTTTCCTTCCTTTGGGAATGACTGTCAGATTATGAGACTTCAATGCCGTTAAATGCTCCTGTTTGTGTATAGCACTGCTGCAAATAGCAGCCTTGCCTTTGGCATCAATGACGTAGTGTAAGGGAGGTTGCATGATTGCCTCAGAGATGGCACGCATTGGGCAAATCAAGTAAATAGCTGTTGCCAGGTTTGTGGCTGCATGGTTTTCTAACCAGGGCAGGTCGACTTGTCAACCCATGCCAATAAGTCCCCCAGTGTCCTTTAATAATAATAATAATAATAATCCTTGCATTTGATATAGCGCTTTTCACGTCGGGAGGACGTCCCAAAGCGCTTCACAGAACACACTGTAAAGTGAATTGACTGTATATTTGTGGGCGAACGCGGCAGCCAATTGCGCACAGCAATGTCCCACAAACAGTCGTAGATTGAAAATGACCAATTTATTAGTATTTTTTGTTTTGGAGGGATTATTATTAGGCGTGTGGAGTAAGGAAACTTGCCCAAGGTTTCGCCCTGTCTGGAATTGAACTCAGGTCTCTCGCTTGCAAAGCGAGCGCTCCAACCACTGAGCTACAGGACTCCATAGGACCTTTCAGTTGGTTTAAGATCGGGAAGTTCTGCAAAAAGGAAAAAAAGTCGCAGGAATTGACTTTTGCAACATTATGTTGCACTCCACAAAGTAAGCAGGGCAGATTCTGGGCACCAACAGACTCAGGCAATTGAGTCCCAGTCTGTTTAAAGTAGCAGTCGTCTGCAGGCTTCATGCAGCATTAGATAGCTATGCTAAGTACAGTACATCCACTCCTTTCCCATTGTGTTGCTCAGCTTACTTGAGGCTGGAAGTTGAGACACCAAATCAAAAGTTAGTCAGAATTATACAAATTTATCAATGTTTGCCTGTAAAATACGACTGGCCATCTAGTGAGTGACCAATTTTATTCAGGGGATTGTTGACCAGAACATTGGAGAAACTTCCTTCTCTTTTAAATTAGCTCCATAGGATTTTTAACATCAACTTAACAGGCAGTCGGAACCTTGATTTTATGTCTCATCCAAAGGATGGCACCCGCAATAAAGCAGGACACCTCCAGCACTGGAATGTCAGCTGAGATAATATGAATTCCAAGTCCTGACACACAGCTACCCAACTGTGCCAGCCCAACACAATTTACATATAAACAGTGCCTTTTACGTCAGAAGCCCTGATAGCATAATATTAACTCCGCCATTTATAAATTCCTCAACTGAAATGGTTACTTTGGAGAACCGCTCCATTGTGAAAAAATGAAATGTACATACTAACGTTTTTAATTTTTAAAAATGTAATCAATGTTTTTAAACAGATTTCTGGGCTAATTTTCTCCTCAATTCAAGGCCCTTCAGCTTTTCTGCCCCCACTCTTTGGAACTCCCTTAGCCTCACCCCCTTCCCTTGCCTTCTTCAAGGCCCCCCTTTTCAACCGTGCCTGCGGCCACCCTCCTACTCTTTATCTCCCTGCTCTCCACCCCTTCTGATCCCAGCACCCAGCTCAGTTCCAAATCCCTGACTGCCCAGCGCAATGGGATGTCCTCCTGACGTAAAAGGTGCTATACAAATGTAATTTGTTGCTGTGTTTCATTCCTTTGTTTCCTTTCCTTAGTAAAGTTCCTATGGCATTGTTCACCCTCCAGTAACTTAACAAGTCACCATTATTCATACTCCAACTATGGCCGTGGGTTCTCTTACATAGAGGTTGAAGTGAACTTGGTCCTTTTTGACTCCAAGAAGTCATAGCCAAGTTACTGTCCCGATCAAAATCCACAGATCCACCACCTTCCATCTTGGGTCTCTGGATAGCTGTATGCCTATATAGGGTCAGCACCTTGCTGATTTTCCCCTCATAACCCAGAGCATTGAAGCCAATTGCAAATCCCCTGCCTGATGTCACCTAACTAATTGGAAACCTTCCTAGTATGTCTAATTGTGATATTCACTGGATAAACTGACTGAACCATTGTCATCAGAGAAACTCTGATTTTTGCTCTGCATGCAATATTAAAATTATGAAAATGGAGTTCTGATGTGTAAGTTACTTCTACACCTTTTAACGCTCCAATATAACGGTTTTGAAAAATAACAGGATTCCAACCCCATGCTGAGGGCTTTCCAATGACACACCTCAATGTGACTGCCTAAGTACCTGAAGGTATATAGGTCTCAAAATATTATCCTTGGTCAATATGGTCTCAGTCCAATTGAAATAAAGAAAAACTAATATTTTGCTACATTTCTTCTGAAGTCTGACACTGTGCCAATGGCAATGCAGATCAGTTGAAAAGACTGTTCAGGTCCCCCACACTACACAAACCACAAAAATATAGAGTCTCTGAAAATAGATTTTTTAAGTCGACTGAATTTTTAGGAAAGCAAGCACAATCTCTTAAAGAAGCCTATGGAATATTGTAAAGCAACGTTACTCCTTTTCAATGTTTGTAGTTGCATTTATAAAAGACTGGAGGAAGGAAAGCGGAGATTCACTGGCTAACTCCATCCGAAAGCTTCAGGAACACAAGTAACTACAGCAGAGCAGTGCCAATGGCTGAGCACAGTTAATGTAGTAATAAATTACTTTTAGTGGGGTTTCATGCTTAGTCTCATAATGCACAGTTCACAGACAATCCATGGCACGTGAGATTTACTGACAAATTTGTACTTTAACAGCAAATTATATTGAGTATAATTAAAATTAGCAAATAAGCAATGATTGCAAGCATACTGCACCTTTTCACTGACTGCTTCAGATCCTGCACAAGCTGCTGCCTCAAACAGTACAAAACGTTGGGCTTTGACTACATTCTGTTTTAAAAAAAAGATTTTGCTTAAAACTAGTTCAGCAAATTTCATTCATACAATGGAACTTGGTAACAACGTCTTTCCTAAACCCAAAATAATATTAAATTAAACAATGTAAAGTGAGATTCAGATAAATTCCATTTGGAGCACGGTTTCTGCAAAAACCTGAACATATATCAGTGTCAGTGAATGGGTTAATAATCTTAGCAAAGCTGAATTCAGAATCTCTCTCCCTTGCTGGATTTTATCCTACTAGACTATGATTTTGTTTCTTAAATGGTGATAGCTAGTGACCAAGCGCAAAGGTTTCCCATTGCAAAAAGAG